AACCATTCAGTGCAATGCTCGAAAAGTAGCCAATAATTTCTTACCATCAATTCAATCCCTCAAATTGTACGGCTGTAAACACACATTTCTAATCTTCTCCTACACATTTTTTTATACAATTTTTTAATACATATTTTTTCATAAAAAGTCAAAAAGTTAACCCAAACATCCATTTTTTTTCCTTAACTTTTTAGTCGAAAAAGACAAAAAGTGTACTTATTTAGAACACTCCAAACAACCCCTTAGCCTAGATAAATCAGTTCTATTTGGAAAGAATTTTTGACTTTTTTTTATTTGGATGTGATAGTTATGATAGAAAATGTAAAATGATTATGATTTGACTGTGATATTTTGTCTAATTAACTTATTTAGTTTATTTTATTTTTTTATACTTATTTAGACAAAAAGGTAGTTTCCAAACAGTAATTAAATAAACTTGTCAACTGATGTTGATTATAATTCTTCATTTTGATAAGGACTTATATGACCATTCAAATTCCTTCTAACTAATCTAAGGGTGTTTGGCAACTTGGTAAATGCTTGGGGGTTAAGATTCCAAATCTTGAGTTCGACATTTCTTGGGCCAATTTCTTAAGCGTAGCGCAATTGATTAGGAGGTTAGTCTCAAGTTGTTGTTACCATAGTACTTGGTGTGGGCATAATACTCCCCCGCTGAGAGAGTCTTGACTTAAGCGAAACTTATTTTGGGAGATTGGGGCAAGTTACCAGGTTATAGTCTCCTTACTCGGAACAGACAACATGACACCTTGGTAATTTCTGCAAGGGGCACTACTTAGGACGGACAAGTTCCCAGGTTATAGTCCCCTTACTCAAAATGGATAACAGGACACCTTGGTAATCTCTGCAAAGGGCGCTGTTTAGGACTTGTAGGAGAGTAAGGATGGCAATATCAACCCGGCCCGACGGGGACCCGGACCGCCTCGTCCCTGTACGGGGAGCAAATATTCCGGCAAGCCCATACTCCTTTCTTCCGAGCTCCGTTTACGTCCGATCACCTGCAAGCAAATAATGGTGAGCTGCCCGGCGGTGTGTGGCCGGAAAAACCCTCCGACGGTCAAGTTAGCACACACCTTAGGATAGAGAAAGGGAGAGAGGAGTGTTTGAGTGTAAGAATTTCCTTACAGAATGTTCGTGTGTCGCGTATGGGGGGCGCAGACATCCTTATATACCCTCTGCGCCCCATATCCACTCCCAGTCATCTCCTGACACGTGGCTCTGCTATCCCATCTGTCAGCATAAACCTTGCTAAACATCACCTAATCTCCACTGCCTGCCTTCTCAGCTGGAGCTCGGCAGCCGAGCTTCTCTATCCACAGCCGTGCTGTGCTTCATACCCAAGCACTTCACTGGCTAAGCCCAAGGAGGACCGGGCTAGGCGGCATCTCGGCAAAGCCGAGCTAAAAAAAAAAAAAAAATCTAATAAGTGAAAGGTGTCTAAATAAAAAAAATACAAGAATTTAGTACATTTTTTGTATTTTTATGTATTTCTTAATTTTTTAAAATATTTTTTCACAATTTTTTTACTTTTTAGACACATCTAAGTAAGGTGCATCTAAAAAAGTAAAAAAAATGTTTAAAATTTTAAAAATATTCACTAAAAACAAAAAAACACGAAAATCAAAAAACTCAGTTTTCAAAAAACTTAATCCAGAAAACTCAAACCAAACACAGTGATTGTTGTTGAAAACAGATTTTTTTTTCAGATTAATTTTTTTTTTAAATTTAAATCTGTGTGTGATCTGATCTGCGTACACATTGATTTGTTGATGACGATGAAACATAGTGATATATATTGATTTGTTGTCGTGTTGAACAAAATTCAAAAAAAAGCTTGGGGATTTTTCGGGGTCAGGGAAACTCGATCCCCGTTAGGAGAGGGGGACGGGGACGGGGAGTTGATGGGTTCCCTCGCCGGGGATCGGGGGCGGGGACATGAATTTTTGAGCCTTCAGGGATCGGAGACGGGGAGTGTAGTCTCCGGCCTCGCTCCGGGCCGTTGCCATACCTACGAGAGAGTGAGAAGATTTTCTTGTAAATCATAAAAGATGCATCATGTCCTTAATTGACACGCACATAGAGTTATAAATAAGCTGAATTGAGTCAGGTAGTAACCATTTTAAATTTGATTGATTTAAAAACTTAGGAAAATGTTTAGTGGCCACAAATTCTGTGGCTCAAATGGTCCGAAAATACTGAAACGACGTCGTTTTGGCATTTTCAAAGTTGTTTTGTATCCAAAACGACGTCGTTTTGACATTTTCGGGCCATTTGAGCCACAGAATTTGTGGCCACCAATCATTGCCGAAAAACTTATTTGACTTTCAAAATATATTCAAACTTAATTTGTTAATCTGGGGAGGCGATCCCAAACAAATTTTGATTGAGCCAAAATTTGAATGAATTTAAATTTTGTTTAATCTTGAATTATTTATATAATAAGTCAATCTCAAATGAATTTTTAGTGAGTTAAACATTGAGTAAAGCTTAAATAATTTTGGAATAACCAATCTCTATAATAATTGATTATATTCTTAAAGTGAATGTTTTAGGGTCAAATTATAATTAAGGAAAATATTAAAAGGAAGTACTAAATTGAATAATGCAGCCCCAGGTTACCTTCAAATGTTGTATCAATTCTTACTATTGTTGTGTTTTATTTATTGGGGAAATTACTAATGAGTGGTACTGTTAAAAAATTATTATAGATTGATGAAAAAAAAATTCATACCTTTAATTATTATTACTCATAAAATTTGTCACGTATATGTAATTTTTTTTTAAATTTATCTTGCATTGAATTTTTTTCTTATTTATCAACCCACTAGGCATATAATGCCTAGTAGTCAAAATGCCTAATGTAACTTCAATGCACTAGGTGTATGATTAGGTATTTTGACTAAACTCACATTCACTAGTTACATGTAACTAACCTTTAAGATTATTTAATCATTAGGATTATTTCCCTCTATCTTTGTTGCTAACGTGACATTCTATAAAGTTAATAGTATTTGGATGAATAGGTAAAATAAAGAATATAGTTGGAATAGAAATATGAAACAGTTAATAGATAAAATAAAATATATATTTTATAATAATATTTAGATAGGTAAAATGTATATTAGCGTTGGAGATAGTGTGTTTTGATGCTAATGTCGTTAGAAAAATGTTTGGTGGCCACAATATTCGCGGCTCAAATGGTTCGAATTAACCAAAACGATGTCGTTTTGTATTGTCTTGTGTCTAAAACGATATCGTTTTGGTCAATTCGAGCCTGGCCCTCTATCACTGCTGATGTCGTTAATAAGGAAAAGTCAGAAGTCTTAAAGACGAGAGAGAGAGAGAGAGAGAGAGAGAGAACTTGTCATTGTTGCAGCTTTAGATGTGCTTGTGAATAGTTCAACAAAATGATAGTTTGATTATATGAACAAAACAAAATAAAAAATAGTTTTTGAAATAGAAGACTTGACTAGAAAATGGAGGAGTGTATTTGTTGGACACGGTTTAGTTGATTAAAAAGTTGTAAATTGTTTATTTTGTTCTTAAATTTTTTTGTAAGAAATTATTTTTAATAATTATTTATTTTATAATAAATTGTTTATTAGTATATTATTTTAGTGTGGGTTGGAGACATCCTAAATTGACACACTTGGTGTAAAACCCCCGACCCACATTATCTGAAAGTTGATTGCCCGCAAAATAAATAAAAATAAAATAAAAACTGCACCAAACAGTGGGAAGCAACTCACTTTTAGAATTAATCAATAGATGGGAATATGAGTTGTGGGAAGCATCAGGAACACATCTTTTTTATATAAAAAAATAAATAAATACAAATTACAAAGCTGTTCTAATAACTGCTCTAATGCAATGTTAAATATTATTAACCGTTCTAAGATAGCCAAAAAACAAAGGTGGTGTCTCGAGTGCCTCATGCAAGCCTCTCAGGTCAATCTACATTCTGCATTTCAATGTTTCAAGGACAACTCTACAACATGACTCCTTGATGCAGGAATCAATTGCAACACTCATCTCTAGCTGCAAAAACGGGGAAGGTCCACCCTCTATTCATGTAGACATGCCTCAGTCTACCCAGGTAACAAGAAGGCGAATGCTATGATGACCAAGTTTAAGCAAAGGCGGCTTCTTGCGATCAAATGAAAATTTTGCAAAATTTCACATTTTTTTTTTTAGGTACATCGGAAAATAAAAGAGGGAAAGGAGGCTAGGCCCTCTCCCTCGAAACACCTAATATATCGGCTACCAAAAGGTTAACCGTTCTAAGATAGCCAAAAAACAAAGGTGGTGTCTCGAGTGCCTCATGCAAGCCTCTCAGGTCAATCTACATTCTGCATTTCAATGTTTCAAGGACAACTCTACAACATGACTCCTTGATGCAGGAATCAATTGCAACACTCATCTCTAGCTGCAAAAACGGGGAAGGTCCACCCTCTATTCATGTAGACATGCCTCAGTCTACCCAGGTAACAAGAAGGTGAATGCTATGATGACCAAGTTTAAGCAAAGGCGGCTTCTTGCGATCAAATGAAAATTTTGCAAAATTTCACATTTTTTTTTTTTTAGGTACATCGGAAAATAAAAGAGGGAAAGGAGGCTAGGTCCTCTCCCTTGAAACACCTAATATATCGGCTACCAAAAGGCCCCGTATCTCCATCGGGGGTTCATTTACAACAAGTAAATCCTCCGGTTGCTCCGCTCCAAATTTCGCGAGAGCATCCGCACGTGTTCCCTTCTCTCAGAGTATGTTTGATTTCGCATGCACAGCCTTGCATGATGATTCTTGCGTCTGCTACTAAACCCCGGAATTGGAAATTATCTCCCGAACTCTCTGTCATCAGCCTTGCATGATGATTCTTGCAAAATTTCACATTTATTGACAGCATAGAGTTCGCATTAGTCAGCCTCATGGTAACAGATGGCCTGCCCCACTGGTGTAGAACCAGAAGATGAAAAACAGCACAAGAACCACAACTAGGGTTTTTGGAAAAATATTTTCAATCAATATTAATTCACTCAAAAGTAAAAATCTTCCTTACACCATCCACCATCCAAATACATATGTTCCATAAATCAATAGAAAAATAGAAAACACGAAATAAATAAATCTCCTAAATTAGTATTTGACTTCTAAAGACTTCTCTTGCGCCTAAAATAGGTGTTCCTTTCTTCTCGTTGATCAGTATCACCCACATTTGAAACAAACCTGTACATAGGCGATCAACCAGGAATAACATCATGTGCTTTGTGGTCGGACCAGATGTGATCATCTCAAGTCAGGCAGCATTTTGGTAGCAGCTTCACCAAAGAATCAACGAAAAGGGCAGCAATTTAAGACCAACATTGCTGGTCATGCTACCACAACTACAACCACAATAAGAAGAATGATCCCAAAGATTACCAACATTAGACATGTCTGCACACCAAAACATAAAAAGGTGAAAAAATGTCAAATATTTTTCTCAAAAGAAAAAAGAAAAAAAGTAAAAGGTTATGCGAGATGTCACACATTTCTACAACTTAAAATAAACAGACTCACTCAAATTAGCTGCATGAAACCAACTCTGTTACTTTCAATTAGAATTTACCAAAACAATTCTACTCGATACTTTATATAGTTTAATGATGGATGGCTATATGAACTCAGCTTTAATAAGTTTCCAATGAAACAAAAAACTCCACCATGTAACGCCAACACTGCCAAGGGGCTAGAGTTACTCAAAGTGTAACTATGATGGTCTAAAATTAATACACAAAACCATAGATTGTGTTTGGTAGGTGCTCAACTATACAATGGAATAGGTACAAGTTACTTGGTTTCAATGCAAAAACAAGCTCAACTGTAAATTGAAAATTTTCAGAAGCAATGTAACTACAAACACTGACAAGCATGTTATGTTGGTGTTATGCACACAAAACAGAGTACAAGACAACAAAAAGAGAAGTATCCTTGTTTATCTCTCTAGACAACTACGTATAGATGACATTTTCTATAAAATTTAAACGATAAAGAAATTACAAAATTAATAAATATTTACCATAGATGAATTGGATCTTTGGATCTTCGATGCTTTTGCCAGTTGGCAAGTAGCTTGTGCGGTTCCAGCATGAGAGCTCTCAATGTTCGAGCTAATGTCATCTGAAAGAAGATAAAGGGGGTGTTTGGCAATAAGAGGTTTTGGCTATTATAGCCTCTTTTGGGAAAATAGCCCATAAGCCCCTACTGTAGCACCTTTTTCTCTGATTTAAAAAATAAAAAAATAAAAAATAAAAAAAATAGGCTCAGGCACGGGACAGTGTAGGCACAGCCTACACTGTCACAGCTGCACAGTGTAACATCAAGGGCGCAATTACCATTTTGCCCCTTTATATCAATTTTAAAAATAAAAAAGTTAGGGATAAATCTGTCATTTTAAATTTAAACATCATTTCAACACACTTTTCAATACAACAACTCAACTAAAAATTCATCTCATCTTCCCAAACACAAAACTAAAATAACCTACTAAAATAGCCAAATAGCCAACTAAAATAGCCACTTCCCAAACGAGGCCAAAATGGAGATCTTGTAAAATTAGAGAAAGCGTCAGTGTGTACAAAAAGAAGATTTTTTTATAAAATAAATTTAAGCAGAAGAAGAAGAAGAAGAAATTTTTAAAAAAAATATCTTACCAATCATAACTCCTTGCTCATGAACTAGCACAGCCAGATCCTTAAAAATCTCATTCACCTCACCAATCTGCTGTTGAATTTCTTTGATCCCTTGTTCTCTTTCTTCAATAATGGCTTCATCGAAAACAATATCATTCTCCAACATTGCCACCTCCTGTCTGCACTAAATTACATTGCTCCAGAGGAGCTTAATATATATAATAATAACAATTCACACATGATACAATGAATCATTTACAACAAAAAAAAACCATTGTAGTAGTCTCCAAATAATTGCTACATAGTCAGGCCTAAAGTTTCTAGCTAAGTTCAGTTGTTCACCTTTTAGATTGCACAAGAAGAGCTAACTGTTCATGACTCTTCGCTGAATCTATCTCCAGCTCATTGCCATTGTTGCTGCACAAAATTTGATCGAGGACATTAGATGAAATATTCCAAGTCAATCAGCGGCAAATATGTGTGAGACATCAACTAATTACTCCTTAGAATTTAGCAAGTGGCAAAATGAATAACAGAGTCAAGACTTTGTGAAATTTCAACCAATACTGATAATATTGGCCAACTCATCTCAATATTTAGTGAAGAAACTAAGACCCTTATCACAAATCTAGCCAACGCACCTGGGCAGAAGAACTTCCTTAGGAACAAAAGGAGCATATGTTGTTTCCCTCTCGGCTGCAAGCCGTTGAGCCTTCTGAAATTCTCTAAGAACTGCCTGGAAATCTTTTGCCAGCTTAGCATCAGCAATCTTCTTGCTGGCCTGGAGTAGAACGAGAAGATTTCGAGGTATTAGAAGAAAAGTTTTTCCAAATCACGCAAATACAAATTCAACAGAGGGTAGGAAATTTTCTCACAAACAATATTAGGCTTAAAAAATGCAAGTGTTAGCGAGTGTAAATAGAGGAAGCAAAAAAAGTAGGATGGTAACTATGTGTAGCATAAAAATGGCTAATTGAGAATGCCAATCACATGTGAACTCACACTGACTTCAGTACGCTGATCTGTTTCAGTAGCTTGCTTAAGCTTAATTGATGTCTCTTTCACTAGTTGTCCAATATGTAACCTAGTCCTGTGCCTGCCAATGAATTCAATCCAGTGTAAGTGTTAACATATTAATATCATTATTAATATAATATGTTACTATAGTATAGTATGTATATAATAGGAATATATTATAGTATGTATATAATAGCTTTCGGCTTGTCCCTGCTTTCGGCCGCCCACCTTCTTTCGGCCTACTTTTCCTTATTATAGTGAATTATATCATAATGATGTTTTGTATCCAGCTCCTATATTATGGAGCCTCTATTTGGTTTCTGAACATAGTGTTAATAACAGAGATTCTCTTTCAATATCACTCTCTCAACTCTCTCTCAACTAGTTTCACAGTAAGAACTACAAATCACAAATTAAGGACCGAGGATGTGGCAACCAATCCATCTATATTATATTGCCTCAATTGATAAATCCAAAGAAATAACAATTAATTGAGAAGACAAAAATTACACACTACACAGTTAGAAAGAAAAAGTACAAAAATACGACAGTATGGCACAAGAAATGAATAGTACAAAACAAATTCACATACACAAACTAACCTACCAAGGGAATCAGGAGAAATAAATTACATATATAAGCAATGGATGAAAACTATGGCCTAATGAGTGATATAAACTAACCTAGTTAAAATATTATCATAATTCCACTCATTATACAAATCACAAATATTAAAAACATCTTAAATTATGTTATATCATCAATTAATACACTTATATAGCATTAGTAATCTTCTCTACTATTACTACGTGAAGACTATGGCCTAAAATAAAAAAAAAAAATTATTAATGAAAGGCGTGAATACAGATGAACCCTTGGTTTCATTAATAACACACTTTAGGTAACATATATTAATTTTTTTATTATTTATTTTTATTCTTAATTACAAACGTATACACTAGTATTAATATATGAGAAGAGAAGAGAAGAGAAGAGAAGAGCAGAGCAGAGCAGAGCATTGAAAGCACAGAAACAAAAACAATAAAAGCGAGAGTGAGAGAGAGAGAGAGAGAAGACAGACAGCTTTTGGCGGAGAAGAAGGGTGTCCTTGGGGGTTCCGAGGGAATGAAGAAGGCGTTGGAAGGAGGCAAGGGCCGTGTTGATCTGAAACACGCCGGCGGCGACGCCCTGCGAAGGCTCTTGTCTCTGTTTCTCTTGGTGTTGGTGTTGGCTTCCATTAAAACTGAAAGTCCGGCCCAGTTCAAGATCTTCAAAACTCATCCTTCTCTTTTTGCAAACGGTTGAATATATATATACACACACACACAGTTAAAAACAACACAGATATTAATTGTGTTTGTGGGTTTATCTTTATCTATATATATATATATATATATTAGTTGTGTTGAAGAATTGGCGGGGTTTCGTTGAAGGGAAGGTTTATGGGGAGAGAAAATATAGGTGGAGAGAGGGAGGTTGGGAAGGTAGAGGGAGAGAATATAATATGATAGTCCGAATTGAATTGAATTGAATTGGAATTGGAATTGGAATTGGAATTGGGTGGAAGGAAGAAGGTAGGTAGGTAACGTGTACGGTATTCAGGAAAGCGGCAGGAAGGTGCACCGTGTCCGTGCGGATCCCAACGCCTCCCCACGCCCTTTCTATTTTTCGTCGCTAATGATATGAGGGTGTTTTGGTTGTTTTCAAAATTAGGTCAAGTTTGGCAACATTAAAATAATTTATCTTTTTATTTTTTATTCTTTTTATTACATTATTTTTCTATTTTTTTTGTATATTTTTTTGTAAAAAGATAAAAAATACACTTATTTAGGTCATCCCAAACAATCCCTTAGTTTGTTTAGGTTATTTTTTATTAGTATAAAAGATGCTCAGAAAAATAAAATGATACTATTTTAATTTTTATAGTAATTTTTAAAATTTTTATATATTACACTATTATTAAACTTAGCCTTATTATTATGAGTCATAACTTAAAAAAAAATTTAAGTAGAAATAATTACCATTTAAAGGATAATCATAGAATTCTTAAAAATATCATAATTAATATCATTATAAATTTCGCTATAATAGGTCATAATTTTTTTTTGAATAGTTGGTACATACTTCAAAAATCATAACAAAGGTGCATATATATTTTTTTCATTCTTTTGGCAAAATGCACTTACCTCTCTTCTTAAATTAAAAATATAAATAACATATCTCAAAATTTAATATAGTTGTAACAGTGGTGTTATATGTATCAATTAGTGTATTAATTAGTATACCAAAACTAATTATTATATTATTATTGATTTCACTTATTATACAAATTACAAATATTAAAAACATCCTAAATTATGTCACGTCATCAATTGATACACTAATTAATACACTAATTGATACATATAGCATTATTTATTCAATTAATACCAACGTTTGCGGAGAAATAACTTGAGAGTGTTAAGTCACATCACAGGTTTCGAGTTGACTCTCCTCATGCCAGACGCCCAAGCAGAAGTAGAGTCCCGCTTGGTAGCTCAAATTTACAGTCCCCCGAATGGCTCGAGGTGCCAAAACGACGTCGTTTTGGAACCTCTTTTTTTTTTTTCCTTCTTCCTTTCCCTCTCTTCCGTCCTCTTCTTCCTCTGTTCTGAATCCAAACTAAAATCAAAATCAAGATCGTTGTTTTTTTCTTTTTCCCTCCCCCTCTCTTCTTTCTCTTCTTCATTTCCCCTTTCTTTTTCCTTCCTCTTCCGGTCGGCCAACAGATTCAGAAGAAAAGCAAAGAGAATAAATGTACTTTTAATTTTTTGTTTGTTTTAAAAGAAAAAAAAAAAACCTGTCAAGTAAAAAAATTTATCAACACCTTTTCTATTATCTCAAATGAAAATTATGAAATAAATCATAGTGACTTTAAGATAAATTTTATAAATTAAATTCATTTTAATATAAATATATTTATTTTGCTTGATTGCAATCGTTGTATTTTTTTTTATTTTTAATTAAGAACATTTTAAAATGTCATAGAAAAGTTTAAGCATGATGAAAACATTATAAGATGAGAATATTTGTTAGAAAATATTTTCAAATAAGTCAAAACACAATGTAGTATATCATAAAATGACTTATTAAATATAATTTTGTAAATGATTTTATATGATCCAATATAAAATTATTTTATTAACATTTTATGTGGTCAATATCACAAAATGCAAAAAATATTTTTAATGAAATAGTTTACAACAAATAAAATGAGTTTAAATGTTATGATACCCACACAATATCAATTCAACTATTTTTTTTTTTAGTGTGATATTATTATAAAACTAATCAGTGTGTTTGGTTTGAGTTTTTTGGATTAAATTTTTTGAAAATTGAATTTTTTGATTTTCGTATTTTTTTTATTTTTAGTGAATATTTTTAAAATTTTAAACATTTCTTTTACTTTCTTAAATGCACTTTACTTAGATGTATTTAAAAAGTAAAAACTTTGTAAAAAAATATTTTAAAAAAATAATAAATATATAAAAATACAAAAAATGTACTGAATTCTTGTATTTTTTTTTGTATTTTTGGTTTTTAGTGAATTTTTAAAAGGTTTTTTTCACAATTTTTTTTTTACTTTTTAGGTATATTTATGTTAGGTATGTCTAAAAAGTTAAAAAAAAATTGCTTAAAATATTAAAAAAATTCAATAAAAACAAAAAAACACGAAAAACAAGAAAATAGAATTTTCTAAAAGTGTTTTTGAAAAACTGTAACCAAGCAATAGAACTAACAAAATTAATGATGAAAGTCATTGACTACCGACCTTTTTTTTTTAACTCAAAGGTCTTTGTGGGGACATATTTTGTGAATAATAGCACGTAGCCGAGGTGATGCCGACGTGTCAGCCAGAGTGCCACGTAGCTTAGTCATGATGCCGAGGTGATCTCGGCTAGGTTGAGGTTATCTACAGAGATATCGGAACCGAGTTAAGCGAATAAAGGACAAGAGTCCTAGAATAGGGGAGGACCTCAGTTTGGATAAAGATAAAACTCTTAGGGAGTTTATCACTATTTAACTGGGAGTCCAAGATGAGCATGGAGCAAAAGTTCATTGAAGCTAGGCTTCTACAGGGATCAGGTTAGTGCTGACTATAAAAGTAAGACACCCTCGTGGGTCTAAGGTATGTTTTTTATGCTTTGTCTAGTGAGAGATAATTACTGACTTGATGGTCGGAGTGCCCCAGGTCGACGAACCACCATCAGATTCTTATCTTTCTATGACAGGTTGTTTGGGCTTAATCTATTCTGTCGGTGCTCTACTGCTGAGTTTTCATGTTTCGTTATGTAGTCAAAAATCAACACCTACAATTTGGCGCTGTCTGTGGAAACGTGAGGAGAATAGATGGCCAACAACACGCAGAAAGAATCCTAATGTGGAGGAAGAGAACTGTAATAAAGAACCCCGAGAGCAGAATCTCAGGGAAAAGGATGTCGGCCAAGAGGGAGACGAACCAAAAAAGGTAGGCCGAGGCGGGTATTTCAACAAAAGCGACCTCCAGGTATGGAAAGATAGATGTCTAAGGAGGGATGAGGAGATGAAGGGAATGACAAACAAATTGGAAGACCTACAATCAGTTGTCAACTTTATCATGCAAAACAACGTCATGCAGCCACCGTTTCCATTGGAGGACACGCCGATTCTAGTGATGGAGAATGATGCCTAGAGAGGGAGGCAGAAAGAAATCCCTACAGTCTCTCAGCATGACAGGACAAAGGAGCATTCGCATTGGCCTTCACGGGAGGTCAGGCGAGGAGAATGGATGAAAGAAGAGTCTTAGAAGACACCTCGTGCCAAGGAAACTTATGTCAAGGAACATCGGCATGTTCAAGGGAAGGAGCTTTGTTTTGACACGATGAATGAAGGGAAGTCCAAGAGGACTTATAACAACACTGGGAGCAGCGCACCAAAAAGGCTAAAATCCGTTGCAGCCGAGCTCTTGGACAAACTAAGGAGGATTTGAGGGATTACCTCCAGAGGAAGCAACAAGATGCCGAGGTTACATCTCTAGTCAAGCTGAGAATGCCGTTCTCAGTAGAATTGGATAAGTTTGAGGCCTCGAAAAGGTTCCACATGCCAAGATTTCAGATATACGACGGTAAGTCCGATCCTAACTTTCACGTCGGCTTATATTTGAACTCAATGACACTATATATTGGGAACGAACCGTTGCTCTACAAGGTGTTCCCCTTATCCTTTGGGGAAATCGTATCATATTAGTTTTACAAGTTGTCGAAAGAAATTGTGAAAAGTTAAGAAGGCCTTGCCGAGATGTTTGTGGCCAGGTTTGTTACAAACAAACTATAACTGTTGAGGGTAGACTCCCCGATAGCTCTGAGAATTGGCGAGGATGAAAGTCTTAGGGCCTATGCCAAAAGGTATTATGAGATGTTTAACCGAATACCAGAGTGCAATCAAGAGTTGGCAGTCGTATCTTTTAAGAACGGCCTGAACGATGAATGCATGCTTTGAAATTCATTGGCAAAGATACTACCAAAAAGTATAGAGGAACTCATGGCCAGAATCGAGAAATATGCGAGAGCAGAATAAAACACACCAGGAACAAAGGCGTCAAAGCAAGAGAAGAGGAATAGCTCGCCGAAGCGAGACCGAGGTAATACAAATTTTAATAGACAAGAAACAGGACTGAGGGCTGCACAGGCAGTCACTACAGTGTTCTGGATCCCGCTTTATAAAGTCTTGGAAAGGATCAGGAACCAGCCATACTATAGAGCACCAGAGAAGATTCCTGGTAAATTTATGTGAAGAAGCCTTGGGAAGCACTGTGCCTACCACAATGAGGATGGGCACCTAACTCAGGGGGCAGAGCCCTGAAGACACATTTAGAGGATCTAGTCAGATAGGACCACTTGAGAGACCTGGTAGATGAGGTCAGAACGAGGAAAAAACAGGCAAGACTGCCTCAGGCACTGGCAGCACCACCTCTACCAACACCGCAACCGCAAGTAGACGGATCTCGAGTGATCAATGTGATTCACTCGAAGGTCAATGAGAATGAGGTATGTGGGGAGACCCAGAGGGTGAAACATTTACAACATGTGTATCAGGTCCAGCAAAAGAGGCCTAGGACAGACGAGTACCAGGGACCAATGATGTCCTTTACTGAGGCCGACCTGGACATGGTGCAGCATCCACACAATGATGCTCTGGTGATATCCCTCAAGATTGGAGAATGCCAGGTAAAGTGCATTCTGATTGACCAAGGCAGCTCTTGTGACATCATGTATGTCAGATGTTACAAAGAGCTTGGCATTCACTGAGATGATCTGGAGCAATCCAACAGTCCAATGGTCGGGTTCAATGGAATGCCAACCTGGCCTCTGGGAGCAATAAATTTGGAGGTACAGGCAGGTACCAAGAAAATAAGCACAGAGTTCACAGTAATTGACACCCCATTCCCTTACAATGTCATCTTGGGAAGGCCATAGTTATACACAATGAAGGCTGTTCCTTCAACACTACACCAGCTATTACGGTTCCCAACAGAGTATAGAATTGAGAAGATCAGAGGGGATTAGGTGCAGGCAAAGAATTGCTCCATGGCAACAATGAAATCCATCTGCAACGTACGAGAAGCA